TGGAGCGGAAGGGCTCGTTGACAAAGACGGAGAGCCGCAGAAAATAGTAAAGCTGAGTAGGAGGGAAAGCTGCCGACAGAAGGTCACGCATGGCTTGGAACGATCCTGTATTGGATCCCAGCTGATAGAGAATAGAGTAATGGGCCTGAATGTCATCCAGCATGTCGGGACGTAGTTGCCGTTGAAGATCCGGATGTAGTCGTCGTCGAAAGCGTTTGTGCAAGCCGAGGGAAGTGGGAGACGACAACGAGTGACGTCGAAAATCAACGAGGTGTTCCCGGAAGCCCACCTTTCGCAGAAGTCTGTGTACCCAGGGTGCATTCAAATGCGGGCGTAGCAGGTATTGCCTTTTGCTTTCCTGGACCCAAACCGAGGAAACGGGAAGTTTGATCTCAACCGGAACAGCACAGAAGAGCCAGTAAGTATTGGATCGCTTCCAGTAGTGAAGCGCGGGTTCGAAGAAGGCATGACGTCCCCGAAGTAGTTGTAGAACTTTGCGACTGCGTGAGTGTTCACGTCGTAGAACATCCTGATCAGTCGCACCAACGTAGTAAGGTGTGTGCCATGGGGAAAGTCTGATGTAGACGCACGGTTGTTGATGATGACCTGGTTCGTGAATGAAGTCATAGAGGTCCGGAAATCGTGCCCGCAATGAGCGAAGATGTCGCGTGTCGGCAAAAGTGGAGTGCATGATTTCACACAAGAGAGAAGCCTTGTAGAAGTGAAGGACTTCAAAGAACGGCGGAAAGTAGCCATGATCTTGGGAAATGAGACGTTGTAAGAAACTGATCAATAAATAGGCAGTGCACCGACATCTATGACATCTATGAATCTCATACCTGTTGGCCACAGTGTGTTGAGAGTGTGACATAGCGTGATTCGGAATCTGAAGGGCAATCCGGACCACAACTAAGACTTCCAGAATGAGGCCCAACCACGGTAGTTGTGTGATTGATTCGTACTCATCAGCTGGTATCGACGGTGGTGGTAGTCCAGGGACGCAGTATTGCCAGCACGTAGAGAACATGGTCAACGAGTGTAAAAAGTTGCCCAGAGACTGCCATTGTGCAACATCATCATAGATTCCACAGCGGCGAAGCTCATCCAACATGGTGAAAATGCAACCAATGAAATCTACCATAAGGCGGCGCCATGGATACAAGCTGCACAGACAATCACGCACAAGGCAATGCAAGCACAACCAAGCACAAGATCAAACTGATGCAACGCAAAAAGATGACGGACGAGTTTTAACCTTGACGCATCCGTGACACGGTTGCCGCTCCGGGCTCATAAGAGAACGAAGGTCGTTAAGATGCCTGCTCATCCGCTGAGTAAGCGAGCGGTCACGATGAGGTGACTCAATGCCTTCTCAGTGAGCTTGGTGAGATAGCCGGGCTCCAGTCCCCACGAAGCCGCCATCGCCCCGAGAGTAGGTGCGTCGCCTTTCGGCATGCGTTGACGCGCTTGAAGGAGCTGCGTCGCCATGGAATCTAATGACTTGTTGCCGTTGAGCCGGGACGGGTGATTGGCCCACTTGACCAGCGACGTCAAAGTTGTGGTTGTGGGCGATTGCTTGAGATAAAGGCGTGGCTGGTCACTGGTCCATGTGTAGTACTTGACAACTTCTTCCGGCGTGCTGTGCATGGTGAGCAATTGTGACGCCGCCGGCTTGGACGGCGGTGAAGACACTCCGTGAAGAGACTGAATGATCCGGGGTTGCACCGCGCTATCAAACGACTTGCCATCAAGGGCCGCTGCGCTGACTGTAGGGAGGGAGCTGGCGGGTGACGAGGATTGTGTGTGGTTGACCGGTGGCGGTGTAACCAACTCTGCATCATCTTTCTGGCTTGCCATCGTGGGAGAGGTCGAAGCGCGCAGCGATGCTGAATACTGAGCCTGGAGCAGCTCATGCGCACGATTTAGATCATTGTACTTCTTGACCATGTCATCTGTCTGGGTGGAAGGTGTGAGAGAAGCGTGGTGTTGCTGAAGAAATTGAAGTACCAAGCTGGCCAAATGGTCATGAACCTTGATCCGCTGATTGAAGTCATCGATGTTGAGACCCAGCGAGTTGGCAAGGTCCTTTTCCAGGGTGAGCAGGTTGATCGACTGTGATCGTCGTAGTAGTTTGGAACAGGTACTCCAAAGTAAGGCCTCGGTGCGAGTGCGAAAGCCTTCCCATGTCACGAATCTGCCGTGAGCGAACGGTCGGAGCAGCCAGTTGGTGAGGCGCCCATGAATAACCTGAACCAGGCGAACGTCACGAATATCCATGCCTGACATGTCGCGCAGGTTGCCATGCGGAGTGTTGGCAACGGTCATGGGCAGGCTGAAGTTGAAGAGCTGATTGACATCAAACATGCCCTCTCCAGGTGTCCAGTCAGGCGATGGTGTAAGCCAGGCTTTCTGACAACGAACCGGTAGAGCCGCAGGAGGTCCAGGTGGCGGTGTAGGTTGCGGGGTAGTGACCGGTGGTGGCATCACGGGTGGCATGAACTTCGTTGGCGTGGGGTCTGGAGGGATCGGCATCATGTAGTTGATTGCTGGATGTTGGAATTGCTGTGTGGGACTATGAGTCGATTGAAAATTTGTGGGCATCATCGGGAAATTGTGGGCAGAGTTGTAGCCGGAATTGTGTTGCCAAGATACCAGGTTGTTCCAATCCATGCCTTCCGAGACGTGGTGGTCATTGTGTTCACGTCGGTGTGCTTTACGAGCCTGAGGAGAAGTACTCCGATCACGTCTGCGCCGAGTCCTGGATCTATCACGATCATCACGTCGAGACATGGTTACACAATCGACTCTCAATCTTCACGCTTCCATCTTGAGAGACACGTATCAGACAACAAGCAAATCCATGCAACGGCAAGGTATCAACGAATCCAACAAATGGCAAGCAAACGCAAACATCAGTGGTGAGACGTCTCTATGATCTGACCGCTGTCTTCCCTTTAGTGAAACCTCGTTCCTGGTTAAATGTGAAATTCCGCTGTTCTATGATAAGCACGTTGAGGTCAAATTTTCCGACAGAGCCGGCCCGGGGTCACACAATGGGTACACCCGAGGATTCCCCACGAATGGGGTGTACACACTTAAACTCCAAATGGAGAGTGCTAATCTTTCGAGTACAACTGATGAGTCTCGAGTACAACTGATAAGTCTCGAGTATGATGAGGTTCGACTCGCATAACGCTTGGCTTCCCTGTAGTTACTTTAACAGGGACACACAGAAACAACGGCAGTTCAGGGGGGGACCAAAAGGACATTCAGAACAACACAACCATCTCGGCAGGTACGTCTGACTGATCAGGTCAGATATCAGCGCAGGTCACGACCCTCTTCGTTGGCTCACCGGTCGTGACTGCGGGTGACCCCCCTGCTGAGAAACCGAAAGGGTGGTGACAGGGCATTCTGTCACTCCGCACACACACACACACACACAAGCGGTCCAATGTTACAAGATATGACCGCTGTTACCCTCCAGTAAAAGATCCAACAGGGTATCGGTGACCTCAAGCTGATCGACTGAGATGAACAAGTGAGCGGCAACCGAAACCCACTAACTTCTGGTTCTGCCAACATGATCTTAAAGATTGTTGTGGCCCCACTATAGCCCCATTAAACCAGGTAGCACAACAAAACAGTCAACAGGGCATTGCTCAAGAAGCAAACTGTGAAGTTTCGCTGATCGAGTTTTACCCTACTCATATTCCATACCTCCCATTTCTGGCAGAGGAGTTTAAGGCCCTTTACCTTCCACACACCAACATGAAATGGAGCAGAACGCCCTCGTGCATAGTGCACTGGCCAGCGGCATGCAGGGAATTTGGCGGCAACATCCACATGGAACTCGCGGTGAGCCCTCTGGTTGAGGGCCGAGGTTTGACCATGGGTAACTCTTCCCATGTGCGACATCTCATCTTTCAAGTGCCAGGACCTGTTGATCAACCCCATGTCTTTTCGGATGGCTTTAAAACCAAGAAAGGACGCATGTGTAAGGCACCCCATCTTTTTGCGGTCAAGGTTTCTTGATGCTCCTACGGGTTGAGCATCGCGCCCAGCCTCGCGGGCCTGACCAAAACGGCTGGGAGAAGCGGTAGGCTGATGGACGTTCATGCCTTTGGGAAAAGGGTCTAGCGAACCTGTGTGTACGTGAATGTACAATTGCATGTTTGTGAAAATGGAAGATACGTTGTATCTGACCGCCTGGTGTGACAAACCTTGTGTGATTCGCAGCACTCAGTTGCTTTCCTGGCAGGGCTGCAATGGATCCTTCAGAGGCTGATGTTTAGAACGCAGGCAGGTACTACAGCGCCTGGAGGCTCAAGGCCTTGATATGTAGAACGCAGGCAGGTATAGCACATGCTGTGCACTTGTGCTTTAACATAATATATCACTATATATATATAGCATATGTATACAGTGCAAGTATGTGTGTTCCACAGGTCCTTGCTGAATCATACATATAGGGTTGTGAGTGCTTTCGGGAATTGAGAGATTGTGGCTGTCATGATTCTGCTGGATGCCACATGGCAGTTCCCATAAACAAAAAAACATGCTGCTCTCAACAAAGCCCGTGAGCTCCAAGCAGGTCAAATGAAGTGCCTGGGGGGATTTTGCCGAAACAGGAGCACGCATCCCTGATCAGGCAGCGGCATTAACATCCTGAGCAACGCCATCTAAACCTAGACCAGCATCCGGCAGCCTGGCAAGCACCCCACACCAACACTCGCACGTTCGCTAGCGCCTGAGCACAGAAGAGCCTCACTCAAGCTTCCTCTCCAAATCGGATATCACCTCCCTTCGCTCCAAAGAATGTGAGAACCCCTGCAGCGGTCAGCCACGTCCCGAAATACCAGGAAAGCATGCCTGTGAATTTGGGCAACCAGCTGACCACAGAAGATGGCCAAAACACCGCACAACCCCCATAGAACCACCACCAAATCTCTGGTCCCTTGACAACTTGAGTCCTTTCCTGCGAGCGCACCCTCCAAGGCGCGCACCACCGTGGGTGCCGTTGCGAGGATTCCGCGGGAAATCGATCCATGCGGAGATGAGGTCTGTAGGGCTGTCCCTGAGATCGCACGTCGGCTAAAACATGCCGGCGGAGATGTGTGAAATTCGGGGTGCACCAAGAAATGGCGGCTTCCCCTTTGACGTCCCTTTAAACATACGCACCCACGAACACACTGGTTCGAGAGCTTGCTGCGCAATGATGACTGGAGAACTCGGTCCACTATTGTTAAGACATGCTCAAAATGACCCGAGCAAAATAGTGGTTTCGAGGGACACGAGCCCCCAACGTGATCTTGTGAACCCCTCAAAATCTGCACTTCAAGAGACCCAGAGCTCTGTCCACAACCTTTGCTCGCGAGACTGCGACGGCGAGCGCAAAGTTTCTGAGGACTGGGCACTGACCCGCGCCATCCTGAAGCTGGCTCAAGTCAATATGTCGAATCGAATGCCGCAGAGATGAAGAGCCTGCCTATCAAACTTGGGTTCGTGGCTAACTTGGGTAGCTCCTTCATACGTCCGCAAGTTGCCCTGAAACTGATGCAGTAAAGGGTCTACCCAAAGCCACGGAACAAATCACAAGGGCTCCCCGTCGTTGGGATCGTTCCTTGCCCGTTGCTCAATCAAATCCCGGGCCTGCGCCGGCGCTTCGCGGACTTGCATTCGCTTCTGTACAAGCGCCTGTCAGGAGTGCAGCTTGGCGCTTTGCAAAGCAAAGGCGTCCATGTCAATAGGATGTCCTCAAGACTACCCGAAAAGTGGTGGTGCAAAGGCAAACGACCCAGAGTAATTTTTTGACAAGTCATCGAATCATAACCACCTTAAGGTTCACAAGCAACGTCGCCTGCTGGTCAGCTGTGCTTGAGCAAAAGCCCTGTCTCACCAAAGCTCGAAGCATCATCATGATCTTCTCAGCCTGCGGCAAGGGTTATGCAAGAGCGCACATCCCATTGCTTTAATTTTGGGCTCTGCTAACCTACTAGTACCATGTCCTGCACAGAACTCCCACAAGCAAACTTGGATACCCCCAACTCCTTGGCTCCCTTCCGACCACCAGCTAGTAAAAGGGTGAGCCAAGGGTCTAGGCCTGACTACCCCGATTAATCATCAGGCATGGTCAATAGGAAACGGGTTTGGCGCTGAGAAAACTGGGAACACTTTGTGGACATCCGAATTGCCAATCAGCTTTGATGATGTGTCCCAGTAACTTTCAACCCGGGTGAAGACACACTACTACCGTGCAAGATAAGAGAAAACGCAGAGGCCGAGTGTGAGCAAAACTTTCATCAAACAGACGCAAAAACGAGCAAATGCATGAGCCACGCAAAGAAACACAAATGAGCTTGACTTTATTGAGCGCGCGAGGCGGCACGAATCTTGTTACGAAGGTATGTAACTCGGGCCCTTGTCACGCAGGTATGTATGGGCGCTTAACGAATCTGCGGCTCCAGCCAACTCGGCAGTCACAACTCTTCGGCGCGCGAGTACTCGTAGCGCAAAGCACAGAACGACAAAGCGCGCTTCCGCAGCTCCGGCTCGAAGGTTGCAACAATTCAGAGCAAGCGCCATATGCAAAGCTTGAAAGTTGAAACTGTTCAGCGCAAGCCAGGCGGCAGCAAAAGAGAGGGCTGGGGTTGGGTATGTAGCGAGATATGTACCGACTAGAGGACTGAGTAGCCGGAGAAAATGTTCAACCCTCTCCACAACTTCGCACTTCAGACCCCCGTGCCCCCAAAGTTAAACACTGACGGAGATTGATTTGCTTTGTCTGGTTTGGGGGTCGCTATGGAATCTGACGAGGTGTGGCACAGAAAGAGGATTCTTCCAGGCCCTCCCTGCTACCTGCTCCAACTTTGCTTCTTCTGAAGAGCACGCTCTCTGCAAGTTGATTCTCAGCAGCAAAAGTATGCTCTGCAAAAGTCTGCTCCTTGTTAGTGCATCGGGGTATGCAAAGAGAGGGAATGCAACCAGCCAGGCGGTTTTGCTAATGTGAGGTATGTAATGAAAGTATGTGGCCATGGGTCAAAATCCCGTACCCCCAGTGAACATCCCAATCCCCACTAAAATGGACTAAAGTGGGTGGCGCACCTACCCCAACATGGTACCATTGGTTTGGACCCACAGCCATATGAACACTGCAAACTATGTACACTCCCCTGCTTGAGCAAGCTCATGCATTGAAATGCACTCGGTGCAAGCGCCTCTTTCATGGGATGACGTGACCTGAGGCATGGTCAATAGCGGCTGTCACATGAGTATTCAACAAAGCTCCCGTGCGCAATATGGCGTGCTTGCCAGCCCAACAAAGCTGGGGGAGAATGTCCCAAGTGACACACACACACACTTACCCTCACACACCCAAACACTGGTCCCACAAATTCATGAAGTCGAGCCCACGCTTCATCCGAAGAAATCTCCACCGCGTTCGAAAGCAAAACGCCGAGGTTGGGGCTCATCCAAATGCCGCATCCATCTCTCCATTAC